CGGACAGTCTCTCGTTTAACTTTAAGGAAACTGAGGGACTGTATATTTACAAACGTGCAGGTAATTATAAAACATCATTTTGTGAGAATTAATGATTGGCTTTGGCCTTAACCTTTTTTCAGACTCTCTAAAAAAAGAGCCCCTAACTACTTTGTTCACAATTTACCACCAGACCGGCCCAGTAACAGCTGCAGAACTGATAGGAAGGGACTCTTTACCTGTGGCTCTGTCTGGCGATCTGGAATGAAGTTCCGTAATGGTGATTTACAGGCCAATAACTCAGGGCTGAAGCCAAAGGTCCCCCTCCCACACACCCCTAACCGACATGTAAAGTGTTAATTAGTGACAAGTGGAGACAAGGTCCCTAATCATTCCACAGGGACAACTGAGATAACCCATGAGCCTTCTCATCCCTGACGTGGAGGAAAGAAATTCCCGTCAGGTGAGACAGCTGGCACTTATGATTCATTCAGAAGCTACCTTTTCTGCAGACTGCAATTACACTGCCTTGAATAAGTCACTTCTGTTGTGCCTCAATTTCATCACCTATAAAACAGGGAAGGAGGGACAGGCAGGCAGGAGGAGTATAATTTGATATTCCAGTATATTAATCTACACCTACTACAATGGGAAAAAAACAAACCAACCAGAGATGTCTATGTTTTTCAAGGATCTAGAAAGCATTCTCCTCAGGTCTACAAAATATATAGAAAAGTCTGAGCCACCCCTGTCAGACCGTTTTGTGATTAGAAGGCTTCATAACGTATCTCTGAACAAGAGAAATAGAGCTTTCTGATTGTATCAGTTTGATAACCGTAAGCAGTTCACAGTAAGGTAAGAAGGTACATTTTGGCGGAAGTTAGCATTGCATTTGATATATTCTTCACTCAGCTCACAGGCAGGGTTTCAAGCTATGTTATCTGCCCCCGCATCTTGACCTAATTTAACAAGTTGCCATGGGAGCTCAGAGAAGGTTGATGCAATTTTCTTATCTTTGAGGGAGGAATGTAACTGTGTAAGAGAATGTGAAAATTCAGTTTCTAACTGATTTCCACACTTACAGTGCGGTAACTGAGACATCGTACAAAGAAATAAAATGGATCCCTTTGAAGGTGATGGGGACAAAGACCTAGGCCCCTAATGCAATGTCCGAAAGATGGACTCTCCCAGCTCAGAGAACCCATGCACACACCCTCTTGTTCCCGCCGAGTCACAGTGATGAAAAGAACAAGTGGTCTTGCTGTGTGGCCACACATGCCCCAGGGTAAATTTTAAGGAAACAGACAGAGAAGGAGAGCAGACCTTGAGACAGAAAATAGGTGCGACTTTTACGAGCAATAAGGAAGTATTGTTAACACTTGGACAAAGATTTCCACTTTCCAAAGTACTTTTCCAAACTTTGACTTGTCTTAACATATCTGCATAAAGCAGACCCACTCACAGGCTCTGCAGTCACTGCCTGCCCCGCAGGTGGTGGAGATGCTGAGCGGGTAGGTTCCATCCCTTCCCCATGCCCTAGGACTGTATCTGAAAGGACAGGGGGCCATACTAGGCTGCAAGAGTCAGGGAACCCCCACATCAGATCAGGTGGCACTGCTGCCAGGAGATGGCCACCAGGCACTGCGCAGAGAACAAGTTACCAACGTTTGGGCTCATCCTCACATGCCTAACAAACTCGACCATCATTTGGCCTAGCAACAAGAAGGGAATCCAGCTCAAGTCCAAGGCCTTCTACGAAATCCAGAACTCAACAAGACAGTGAATCCTCACGGGCTACTAACACTTATCTGTACTCAACACGCGTGCAGAAACATCTGCTGAATTAACTGATTTGTCACAATTGGGCTTTTTCTCCTACGTCTCACACAAGGTCTAGCACTCATTTAATTAATATTTTAGCTCCATTACATTCTCACAGATCTTCTTCCACCAAGATAAGGATGAACACTTCTACTTCACTGACAGTAGAAAAAGTACAAGGTAAGTTTACCTAAAATCATAGCATGGTTCAAGTGGGGAGGGAGCACAGAGGACTTCTGTTTTGGGGTCTATTATCAGCACCATCTGAGATGGTGTGAAAAGTTAGATCCTTAATTACGAAGAAGAAATATGGTGAGATGCTTTAAACGTGTTGTTTAATTCAAATGACTATGCCAGTCTCAGAGATCTGTAATTGACAGTTACCTTTTCTTCAACTCACTGAATGTTTTATTCCCTTTTCCCATGTCTGGAGTGAAAAAAGTCCCTGCGTGGTACCAAGAGTTTGCGCTAGGTGACTGAACAAAAGGTCTGCGGTTCAAATCCACGCAGGGGTGCCACAGAAGGAAAGCTGGAGATCTGCTTCTGTAAGATTACAGCCATTGAAAACTCGACGGGATACAGTTCTACTCTCACACACATGGGGTCACTGTGAATTGGAATTGGCTCAATGGCCACAGGTTTTTGGAAAGGAAGGAATAAAAGAAAAAGAAAAATTAAAAAAAAAAAAAAGAAAGAAAAAAGAATACCTATTAAATAACCTATCCAAAAAAAGGAGTGACATCACACATAACTCACAGCTCCAGATGTCCTGGGTGTGTGCTGAAAGCAGCATTTGACTGCACAGAAGCCCCGCAGGCAGCATTTTAGTGCTGGTTATCTCAATGACAGTCCATGTCCCTAATTTGTATGGCACACCCCTTAGTTCTTACAATTTCCAACCCAGCCCTTCCCTCCTCTCCTTAGTAAGAGCTCCAAGAAACTGGTGCGCTCTGGGAAAGATTCCCCACATCTCAGATAACCCTTGCCATGCTACTGTGACCATCTTAGCCAAAACCCTTCCATTCATTCTTGCAGACTATTAGCTCTGCAGGCTTCATGACTTCTTCTGTTTAGAAAACCCGCTAACTAACACAGTTAACACTTCCAGAGGCGTTTACATCTGCGGTGAAGATCAGGTTTTAGCTGTTTCCAGAAAGATCTTTCTCAGTGTGGCCATGGATTCTTACCAGAATCTCACCCATGAAAGCTGACCCTAAATCATAAACCTCATGGATTTCTTTGAACAAAACCCGAACTTTAGAACTTAAAGTCAGTTCATGTAACCTCATTATCCACTAAACTGCCCTAACTAGTTATATTTTCAGTATCCCATGCCTAGTTGCTAAGAGAGATTCATGAAAGCTGTCACTGGAGAATTATCATTGTGAACATTGATGGTGGTGATGGCGGCGATTGTGTTAGGGAGAAGAAAGGAAGATAACAGAGAAACTAAGTGGAAGATTTGTTATTGGAAGTGAGGGTGGAAGAGCTATAGAAGGGTTGACCTTCACACTTGAGCAACCAACAGAGCACTGTCTGCCCTGCACCACAAGAACAGAAGGAGCACCATCATCCAGAGACACCTTGCTGCCTCCCAGGTCCACAGTCATTTTACAGCTACCTTGGCCTTTCCTTTCTCTTCCTAATTAAGCAGCACTTCTCTCTCCTTCATCATATATCCAACTAAGGTGTAGTTCTTAAAACATCTGGAGAGCCAGCACTCGGTATATCCTGAGAGACTTAATATGCTTTCCTTCATTCCAGATGTCTTTAATGGAAATGGGTAAATTTTCTAGTAATCTGCTGGCCACAGATGGGAAAGGACTTTCTTGAAAAGGAGCAAGTACCCACATACTAGAGATGCTCAAGCAAAGATGGTGGGCATATTGTTGATAGGACAGAGTAGGTGATCTTAAGGTCTCTTCCTGGCCTAGGACTCTATGGTTCTATGAAATGAGGATCTCCATTCATACACAGACCTTCTCGCTATCCCAAAACATAAACCTAACTCTTGAGTACTTACTTCATGCAATCAATTGCATGTGGAATGCAACAGAAAAGACACTTTCCCTATCTTTGAAGGGAGAATAATTTGTCTAAGCATTTGAGTTGTTCTCAAAGGTCAGCTGGTTCTCCTAGTGAAAAACGAGGCTGCTGGAAATGCGAGAATAGGGGTCTAACACACGCTTAAGATCGGACAGCTCAGGAGAAACACAAATTTTGCTATTAGTCTTCAGTCAGGCCAGTTCGTAATCCACACAGAGTCCCCACATAGCAACCTGTCCAGGGTGGAGGAAATATGAGAACAGAGTCCAAGATCACATCTGAGTCATCAAAGCTAAAAATAGGCTCCACTCACAACACATTTTCTAATTTTCAGAAGACATTACAATTTTTCAGAAAGAATCTGATAATTAACACATTAGTGTTTCATGGATATTTCTGATATACTCTTCATATGTCTCCAGATTTAGGCAACATATATACTACAACCCATTTGGTGAATGAACTGTTTTGCTCTACTTCCAGATTTTCAATCAAAACCCAAGCTCTCAACCTACATCTTCCTTTCTCTAGGTGTCTTTCTTCATGCACCAGTACCATAACTTCTGCTCCTTCAATCTGAGATCTTTACTCTAAACAGATATTAAAGCTCAGTAAAACAAAAAGGTTTCCTATGTAGGGCAGGATGGACCTAGACAGGGTTTTGGGTGACTAAGGATATTTTTCTGACACTTGGTATAGCCTAGTGAGTACTATACTACAAAAAGATGTAGAGTCTAGGACATCCTTACGCCTCTGACAGAGGTTGTTTTATGTTCAGAAAGACTGCCCAAGAGTAGGCCAGGAAAAGTCCCTTGATGCTAGGTCACTGGGTGGAGTTTCCAGGGACACCAATTCACGATAGTTCCCTTCCCCAGATATGGGAAAAAAGTAAAAAATGTAAGTTTTTTCTACCACTCTTGGAAATGACCCCTGGGAGCAGAATGATACTATTTGCTTCTAAAAATCAATGGCTATTTACAAGCAGAATGGCCAAAGAAACTGCAGATTTCTTTGAGCCTCCTTCTCCCCACTCCCCACAGAAAGCGCGAGTGTGATGCTCAGTCCCTGGGTGTATGCACACAGGGCCCTCCACTGCTCCGTCCACTGAACATGCATCCCCACCAAGGCTGCCTGGGTAGCTGTAGGGCGCCTACCTGTGTAGCCAGCCAGAGCAGCAGCAGGAATGACAGGCTTGTCCTTGTTGAGGTCAGCACGGTCACGCACATAGTCCTTGAAGGTGCCCTTGGGCTTGTGGTTGGGCAGGGCAGCCGGATAGTCCTCTGAGTCGAAGCTGTCATAGGAGGGGACACGCTGCAGGCTGTTGAAAGATGACTGGCTGCTCCAGGACTGGGTGAGGCGGTCACAACTATCGTAGCTCTCTATGCTCTCAAAAGAGTCCTGGCCTCCGAGCTTACCTGGAGGTAAAGGAGGAGGGAGGAAGAGGACAGGGGAGGAGGGATCGGGAAAAACAACAACTGTAAAAACCCTCTGATCTGAGGACAGCTGGCTAATCAGATCCACAGGAGGGATGGAAGAAGGGAGGCGGGGTGGTGGGAATAGAGGCTTCAGGGCTGTGGGTTTGCTCCAGGGAAGTGGCTGCCCTGCGCCCACTCCCACTCTGTGCCCTGTTTTATATGTCTGAGTCCAGAGATTCGGAGTTGAACGCTGCGCATATCTGTCAGAGACAGACACCAATATTTGGGACCTCAAGAATTCTGAAGTCAGACATTGAAAAGCTGAGAAGCACGCGTTGTTATGGGATTTCTGGCTAAGGTTTCAGAACCAGTGAGTACTGGGAGGAATCAGATCAGTGTCAGGCTGACTTCCCTCTTCCAACTCAAGCCAATGAGATGATTTCAAAAGGCCCAATTTGGCAAAATGTCTCGGTCATAAGAAAAAAATTCCATTAGACTAAGAGCGGATTGACTCTCCTTGACCTTGGAACTAAGGAGTTATTTTTTTAGCATTTTTCCCAAATACTATTTTAAAATGAGACACATGCCCTGCCTCTATGCCTTCTCAAGTAGAGAAAGAAGTTATGAGATATGTTTTCCAGGAGATGAAGAAATACTATCCCTCTTCTAAAACAGAAATCCTTATTCTTTATCCTGTCCAACTACAATGCTGTACTTGAAAATCTACTTCTTTGGGGAATGATGGGCGATACAAAACAAGAGTCAAGTAAACGGTTAATGTCCAAGGCAATGTCAGAAAGCCTTTACTCTGTGAGTTGCTTCAAGGCATTCTTAGCTGACCACAGGATCACGCAAGTTCATTAACTTCCCAAACCAGGTCATAAACAGCTACTATGATTACACAATAACTCCTGGAGAAATTTCCATTGGCAAAACTGCCCATTAAAAAGGAGGCTCACACAAAATTCTGGAAGGAAATAAATGCAGCTAAGAGCTGAAAAGGTTCACGGGAATGTTTTCCATGTTCTACTTTCAGACGCCTTTCAGGCACCCTAAGATGAATCATGAGACTATATGGCCACCTCAATTCATTACAAGTCAGGAGACCAAATGAAGTGACCGAGTTGACGTAGAAATAAATACCTGTAAGTCAACTCTCAATTGTTCATGGGTGGCGGCTGATCTACTATCGATTTCAGATCCCAGAATAAGATTGGCCTATCGAACCTCGTACTGGTATGCTTCCAGTGTATTCTCCCCTACATAACGATGGGGATTTGGTCAAAACAATGAAAGAGAAGCATGAACAGGTGCCCAGGCCAAAACTAAATGTGCAGTAATTAGGAGGTTGCCCCTAAATAAGAAGATAATCCCAAATAAAATGAATTCCAGTAGGTACTTTTGTTTTTAATAATCCACTATTTTAGATTTTCTGGACCTCTTGTCCCCTCCATCCATAACAGAAAGGTGGTTGTTTAAAAGCTTTATCTCATGCCTTCCTCCAATTATCCATTGGAAGGAAGGTAATCTCCAGAAGCAAATGGAAGCGCTTCACAAAGTTTTCCACCTTGCCTATGCAGTCCACTCTCACGATAAAAATGAAGCAACTGTCCTCTCCAGAAATTCACATTCAATGACTCGGGGAAACAGCCCACGAGAAGAATGTCATCGCCTCTTTTTAACAGAACAGGAAATTTTGTGGCATCTCATAAAAAGGTGTTTGCTCATGCCAGCTATTGATCTCAACAGTCATTCAATTTCTCTACAAAGCAAACACGCCAAAAGCCTAACAGAGAGGATTTATACTTTCATGAAGAACACCCCACGGGTCACTGATATTCAGGCAGTTGTTATGCTTGAGTCTCTCTGAAAGATTTCTATCTCTATTAGCCATTTTTATATTTGGAGGCATGGAGACCGAAATTTCCACAAGCAAGACTGGTGAGTTTCCAAGGAGTCCCAATAAGCAAGAACACTAAACTAGGCCATAACTCTTCTCTGGCAACCCCTCAAACATAAGCCAAATGCAACTCTGTTGAGAGCTGTGGTTTAGAGCAGTACGCTGCTTTCATTTGAGCTCTATTTCACAATCCTGGAGCTGGGAACCTTCATTTATGGGTATTTTCTCAAAAAAAAATGGGTTGAATCCAACTGGATTAAACACTTGGTTATGCTACTGTGTTCATGCAGGGCAGTGTGTATCCTCAAAGATGTCCAATGAGCAACTTTTCTGAGAAATGCCTCAGCAAGATCTTTCCAAAACCATCTGGCTCTAGCAAGCAGACCTCCAGCTCCCCAAAGCAATAGATGGGCGAGCCCTACACTCACTCACTGAGCAGACTGGCACAAAGACAGCTCTAAGAGTTCAAACAAGTGGGATACAGAGGCATGTTGTGTACAATAATGGACTATATGAACACTATGGTTATCATTAGTAATCGCCAGCTAACAGTAATGCTTTCAGACTAGACAGATCATCATACCAGCGCAGATTCAATCGGCCCTTGGAATGTGTCCCGTTCAAAGCACTCCCAGCATGTGAAAAGCAGCCCGGCACACAATGGTTCTTCCCGTGTGGCCTGACACTGGAGTGAGAAGTACCAGAGAGAACTACCTCAAGGTAGCTCTTTGTAAGGGTTACTGTTTGGTCTGTAGTCATTAGCTGGAGGTTGACAATGACAGTGGGAACAGAAAGCAAGAACGAAGAGAAAGAGGGAGGAGAAGGGACAATGATACAACTGCAAAGCCAGGCATGATTTCAGAACAACATGAGAGTGGATTTACCCAAAGTTACAACACGGCTGAGTCCAAGCCCACAGCGCTTAGCTGCCAGTAAAAGGTTGGCGGTTCAAATCCACCCAGCGGGCTCCTCGGGAGAAAGACCTGGCAGTCTGCTCCCGTTACGATTACAGCCTAGAAAACCCTATGGGGCAATTCTCCTCTGTCATATGGACTCGCTATGAGTCAAAAATGGCCCCGACGCACCCAACACCAACATACGTACATATAAGAAAGAAAGTCTTTTCAATGCTCTGACCTTCCTGAGAAAGAAGACGCGCACGTACATCCACATGGGTACATGTATTTAAATAGACATACACCCAAATATTAAAAAAAGAGAGAAAGAGGAAGGTGAAGCTGGTCCCACCCATCCCCTTCTGTCTGAAACCCAAACACCCTGGGGCCCTGAGAGAGAAGATAACAAGTTCTGATTTTGCTGGGGACTTTCCCTACGCAGGTGCCTGCTGGGAGGAAGCCTGGGCCTGAACACTTGAAAAAGGTGACAATGTGTACGGCCCACAAACCCTGGGGGAGGGGGATGATTCTTCAAAGTAAAAATGCCTTTGGGGTCCTCTCTGAAAGCCTCAGAAGAGACAGGACGGGCAGCCTTTGAGCAGAAGTCACTAAGAGGTGATGCAGGCCTGCCCGGTATTCCCTAAGTAAGGGCTTCTGAGCACCACCTTGCAAGGTTTTCTTCTGTTCCTGTTTGTTACTCAGTCCCGTTTATCCACCTGAAAAGTCACTTTTTTCAACTTTTCAGAAGCCAGCAGTTACTTCCTGAGGGCACAAATCTCTCCATCTGATGAACTGTACTTCTCTCAGAAACAAAACATCTGCACACTTCCCTAGGCGTACCGCGTGCCTCGCTGTTTATGGCCTGATCCTAAAAAGAGGGTGTATTTTACCTTTTTTGCTTTACGTCAGCCAGCTCTATTTTGCCACATTTCCTTCCCCGTCAGTGAATATTTTACCATTACAGTTATGTCAATAAGAGTTTCTTCTTTTGGAAGCTCTGGTCACCTATTTCCCTGGTCCTCTAGCTAAATACACACTTGACCACACTGCAGATGACTGGTTCCAAATAAACCACTGGTTAACCATCTTGTATCTTCCCAAATCAGAGAAGTCACAGAAGGCCAAGGCTCCCAGGCTGAGGGGCAGAGGCTCTGCCAGGCCCCAGACGGGGGCGTGCAGTGTGACTGGAGAAGCTCTGGCAGGCCCACCAGAAGACACGCCAAGTTTAGTGATATTCCCGAAGGTCACCCGCACCGTTTTTACTTAGCTGTGTCCTCCTCCAGCAAGACCCTCTCAAAGAAAATAACACATACCTCAAGAAACCACTACATCCAGCTACAGTTACTATCTGGGTAAAATATTTTACCTAAAAAAAGAAACCTGATTGTTTATCCTGCTAAAATTCAATTCCACCATGAATCCATTGTTTTTTGTCATTATGATGGGCTTGCCTACAAGTCCATGATGGAAAGTTCTTAATATGCACACATTCTAAGATGAGCAGGCTGAAAAGGAGCAGTGTCCAGGGCCAGTAAGTGAGAGCACCTGGGATCCAGAAAACTCACAAAGTTAGGTAATCCCTGGAAACTCAAGAGCTTTTAGAGATGCAATCTGACCTACCACGACTGGTCCTCCCCATGCACATGTTGTCTGGGGTGACGACTTCCTGTTTGATGGCAAAGTAGTCGGTCTGCAAGGTGTCTGTCTGGAGAGGGTCCCGGAGAATGACTGATGGGTAGTCATTTTCATACTTGAGGGAGAGGAGCTCCTCAGAACTGATAGGATGAAGCGTCTGGTAGGACTCTGTGATGAAGCTAGGCTCGGAGAACTCCGATGGAGGAACGCACTGGGCATGCTCGATACCATAGCCTGGAAACAGAGAGGGTTTGCAGCTGGAGAGAGGGGAGCTTTTTCCCTAAAGCCAGCACTTCTTCACCCCCACAGTGTAGAATAAGCTGGCTACCTTAGAGAATAAGAGGAAAACATTTAAGTCTGAAGGGCCTGGGTTGCTAACATCACTCTTTTACTCAATAGCTGTGGTCCTTGACGAGTTAATTCTCTTTTCTGCCTTAATTTTCTCAACTATAAAATAGGGCTGATTGCAACCTTCCTCCTGGTGCTGTGGTGAAGATCCAGTGAGAGTATACGCAGCATTCTGGCATATAATAAGCTCCTGATGCATACTAGTTGATATTATTGTTGTTGGATTAAAAATCACAATCAAGCAGAGTAAAAATGAATGTTTTTAAGATTCCCTTTCTAAGCCATCAGATGGGAGCTGTTCTACACTAATTCTCTTCCTGTGGGCACCTCTCCAACATGCTTTTGTTGTTGTTATTGCTGTTAGCTGCTGCTGAGTGGGCCCCCAACTCTTGGCGACCCCGTGCACAACAGAACTGGAAGGTGATCACTGGCGAAAGTACATCGCCAGGCCTTTCTTCCGCCCATATGCCTTAGGTATCTCCCACTAGAAAGGAGGAGGCCTATTTTCTGTAACAGAATTTGAAGCCTCCTGGTTCACTCTTGAGGGTAAGTTTCAGAGAAATTACTGAGAAATTACTGAGAAAGCCCTATGCGGCAGTTCTACTCTGTCACATGGGGTCGCTACGAAGCAAAATTGTCAACGGCAACAGGTACTGTCCTCCCACAAGTAAAAAAGGAAAGAACAAGGGCCAAGATCAAATCCCCAACCCAACCCTCTGGCGGCCGCCATGGTACGCAGGATCAGGTAAGATTTAGGGGTTTAAAAGTAAGTTTAGGGTCGAGTGGTATTCTGTCTGCAGCAGACGTACCACGCGACTTATATGTGAAAGGTATCTGAGAACTTTGTTGCTGCTGGGTGCTGTCGACTGGGTTCTGACTCATGGTGAGCCCATGGGACAGAGTAGATCGGCCCCACAGGGTTTTCTTGGCTGTAATCTGTACAGAGGCAGACCACCAGGTCTTTCTCCTGCGGAGCAGCTGCGTGGGTCTGAACCACCAACCTTCCGGTTAGCAGCTGAGCATTTACCCATTGTGCCACCAGAGCTCCTTATCTGACAGCTAGCGTGTAGGAACGTGCAGGTTAATAAAACATGTAAATGGTTGAAACCTTGTGCCTTTGTAGGAAGTAACAAAATAAATAACAAAGAGAATTCTATACTTCAACAATTATTATTTTCTGTGGAATGACCATGAGGGAGCCTGAGACCAGCAGGCACAGGGCCCCCTTTGTAGGTTCCCATTCTCCTGAGCGAGATGGGGAAGGAGGAGTGGAGGATGAACTTACTAATAAAGTAATCCGAGGTATAACGGGACTCTGGATAGGTGGGGTTCACTCCATTAACCTGATATGGCTTCACATCCTCTGCAACAGACAGGGCAGGGAACAAAAGAAAAGGTCAACACACAAGTAACAAGGATCTTGGATGCAAGAACACAATGATCTCAACCCCTCCTCTAAGAAAGCCACACGCTCTTGAACTGAGCTCGGTGCCTGAGTCTGCTCTGACTGGGGCCTTGTCTAAGGATGAGATCACAGAAAGGATGGCTAAGCGAACAGTTTCAGTAGCTACAAAATCAGATTTAGTATCTTGGAAAGAAGATCAGTGAGTAATCTCTAAGAGTTAACAAGGCATTTGGTCCCTCCTAGATGAGTCTGTGTATGCTGTGCTGTGTGTGTGTGGACCACATCAAGAGCAAAGGCTAGAAGACATCTCGGGCGTTACCAAGATCAGTCCCCAGCCTTCAAAGTTATCAATTCCAAAACCTTTCCAGAAATACATTATAGTCTTTAGACAGGTAGATTTCCTATTCTCTTTTTCTTCTAACAGTCACAGATTCGCTGTGCTTCTGTGTTTATTTTCCAACAGAAGTTGGAGAGAAGGAATAAAGATAACACTCCTGTGCCCAGAAGAATCTTGTTTTGTTTTTGTTTTTTTTTCGTTTTTTTTTTTTTTTTAAATTGCACTTAGATTTCAAGTTCAGGCCCAAACAAGAAGCAGGACACTGGGCAGGTGACTCTATCTGATGAAATATAACTGGACCCCCACACAGGGAGAGAAAAGCAATGTAACCAAACTACTGCCCAGATACCAGCTTCCCTGAGAATGGGAGAGGAATGTCTGTGAAGGGTAACTAAGGACAGACAGGCTCTCCACTGGGCTATTGGGACCTGTGGCATTCTCTAATTAGTCTGGAATCAAATGGTATGGCCTCTGATTCTCGTACGGAGTAGTCTGCATTGTATTTCACGCCAAGAATCAGACACAAAAAGAGAGTGCTGGTTTGGGTTTTTTCCCTTAGGTATTTGAGAGTTCATTGGGAGCAGAAACTGCAGAGAAAACAAGTTTATGCCTGCAGAGAAAAACAGTTTCCAGCTGAGATAAAATGATTAAACTTTGCTCTAGCACCTTATCAGATTGCAACATCCCCTGTATCTGTGGCCTTCCACCCCAACCCGAGCAGCCATGTTCCTTTGGGGCTGAGTTGTTCTAGTTTAATTTCCGAACAAAAGCCAGAGCCTCAGTACAAACACCTTGCTCAGCCCTTCAGAGCTTTGGAGAGGCATGATTCTTACTGCCTTCTCTCAAGAGGAGACTGGGTGGGGTGATAGGGCTTTTGTTCTCCAACATACAGAGTCCACTTCTCCTAAATGATTCCTTTGCAGTCAGGTAGGGCAAACTGGACTTAGGGGTCCAGAGGCTCCCCGTGAGTGTATACGATTTTCTAAAGAACACAGGACAGGAGGTTAAGTAAAAAAGAAGCCTCAAGCTTAAGGAAACAAGTGATCTTGAGGAAATCACCTAACCTGACCCTCGTTTTGCAGCAGAGGTCAATAATAGGACTCGCCCTTCCTATCTTATGGGGTTGTTTCGAGAATCAAAAGAGAAGGTATGTGCAAGCACTTAGGAAATAAGGGCATGCTATGTGGGTATTATTGGTAACTATGGTCAGAGACAGGCTTCAGCACTCGGGGACACCAGGCACCTCCATTTCGATGAAGATGGGGAAACAGTATATTAGAAGATGTATTTGGATTACGCAGTCTGGTGGAATCTGCTGTTGTGTTGTAAGTCAACGGTTAAATCAGACAGCTTTTGAGCCTCCCATGTCTCTACCCACTATAACCAGGTTGCTGGTGTCAACACATGTGAGTGGGCGTAGGTGCAGTTCCATGGAGAACATGCTGGAGCTTCGGGGAGCCCGTGCAGCTGCCCGCCCGCTGGTCCTCTGCAGCCACAGTCACAGATTCGCTGTGCTTCTGTGTTTATTTTCCAACAGAAGCTGGAGAGAAGGAATAAAGATAACACTCCTGTGCCCAGAAGAATCTAATTTGGGTCTCTCCTGAGCGCTGCAGCGTGGACAATACTCTTAAACAAAGAAAGGTATTATATGGAACGAAAGTGCTAATCCTGAGCTCCGCTGCCTTCCCCAGCGTCTGTGCCAAGGGCTGGAGCTGGTGACCACAGGGAAGGGGTGAGACTGGGTTAGAGAGGGCAGCGGGCTTCTAGGCTTACAGTCAGCTGGAGGGCACTGCTGACTGCTGGTAACTGAAATTTATTTTAAGAAGAAATTCAGAAAAATAAGCGCAAAAACACCCAAGTTTGCCGCCTGCTGCCGTTTCTGTCTTTAGCCAGGGCTGTGGTACATGAGTCACTTGGTCCAAAAAGGTTGGAAGAGGCTGGTAGGGCAGACCATGTCATTGCAAAGTTGCAACATGGTGTCCTGACATAACCCCACCATTGTTGCTCCAGATGTAAAAAGGGCACTGCACTCCTGCACTCCGAGCCAGTAAATGGGTGAAGATGCCTGTCTTATTAATAAACTCTAAGAGGCTACGCCTTCTTGCCAGTGTGACCAGGTATGACCGCTGCCACAGATCAAGGGAGCATGTATTAGGACTGTCAGAAAAACAAGCTATCTTAGGGTTGGCTGTGGGCACTGTTGCTTCCAACAGTGCCTGGGTCTGAAATAAGGACTAAGACCATAACTTTGCATACCAAGCAGGTTCAGGAGTCCCATCTTGCTAAGGGTTTAAAATCAGGGTGTGACCCTGAACCCCCAGTGCAAAGAAGAAAAAGAAACTAACATTTCTTGAGCAGGTGCTACATCCAGGCACTATACTAGGCACCTCTCTGTACAGTGGGAGAGGACCCCGCTCCCCTAATGACGTCACTGTACCACCACTGGGTACGTTCGCCAACCTGCTCTCACAGCCACCCCCACCCCCCACCTCACCTTGTCTGGACACATTTACCTTTCTGCAGGATCTCTAGATGCTCCCATAAGATGTCTCCAACAAAGTCTGGGGCCAGCTCAAGAAAGCAGTCTTTTCCTAGGGCACAGAGAGCTGCTCCGTTCATACAGAACTTCTGAAAGTCCACGCCCTTCAGGCTGAACTCATTCACAGCCCACATCACCCAGTCCCGAACGTGGGTTTCTGTCCACTGCCGGGGGTCTGAGGGGAGAGATCAAATGAAGAGTCAGCAGGTCAGCTCTGAACTCTTACCTGAGCCTCAGAGCAGCACTACTGAGGCTGTGAGATGCTGAGGACGCTCTCCTGTTCCCAGAGTTAGGAAATACCCATGTGTACGTAAATGCCGTTGGGCACCTTCCATAACCTTCCTCCCCACCTCCCACATTGCACCTTCTCCATTTTGCCACCTGAGATAACCACAGCTAACCAAAGAGTCACACACGTATTCTCGACCCTCCACTCGGATTCCCATGAACCTCCTCTCTCACTGCCTTCTTCCCATTAGACTTGCACAGATTTACAGAGCCCTGGACAAGGGAACAAATGGCTTCTCTAACAGCAGCAATAACAAAAGAAAGTGTGTTCTGGAGGTTTCACCCTGCCCTGCCCTGCTCTTAACTATTATACTTAAGACCATTATCTTTAATTACTTTTATCTTAGCCAATTATGTTTAGTAATAACCATAGCAATTAGTAATCTTAAGTCACTCAAATGGTACTTAGTAATAATAACATTGTTAGGTGCCTGTCTTACACCAGACTCCCTGCAAAGTATAGACAAACCACAAGATCTGCTTTGCACAGTGTTGTAGAACAATGTATAGTTTCCACGCACGGCCCCCGGTTTAACGGGGCTACACCAACCCACAACACATAACGAATGTGTTATATCACAGTGCCCCCAGAGTTATCCCCTTCAATTTGGCAGGCTGCTTTATGAGATGTTAACGAATCCAGCGGTCGGAATTCACTTTACTCTTCCTGGTGATCCTCAGAGGGTATTTGGCGTCGCTGTCGGCTGCGGTTTGTGGTCAAGCAGTACACATGGGAAAATATGGACAGACACATTCACGGACTCTATCTAAGGCTCTGGTCTGACCAGGCTGGAGGTCTCTCATCTAGCAGTAGAACAGGCCTGATCTAAAGGCAATACTATTCTTACTCAATACAGAACTGCTCTTTTTGTTCTCAGATGGTTCATAAAGTAGTCCTTGGTGGAAGCTTAAGTGTTCTCTAGTCAGTTCTCCTTTCTGACATGTCCAGGCCCTTACATTCCTGAATAAACTCTTTCAGATAAGAACACCCAAGTACAAACACATTGTATATAAAACAGAAACATCAATACATTCCAAGAAATGCAGGTCATGGAACCAATTCCAAGTAAGTTTAATGGTGGCCCAGAGTGATGTTAACATAGAGTTTCCTAAACTTATTTCTCAAACTTGGCATCACTTGAGGAGCTTGAAAAGATACATACTGATGCCACCAGAGACTGTGATTTAATTGGTCTAGGGTAAGGCCCGGATGTGGAATTTTTTGAAGACAACGAAGTGATTCTAATGTGTAGACAAGTTGGGAACCACTGCCCATGACCAAGATGGCGCTGACAAACTAGGAGATGGAGGAACGTTAGCTGCGCATCTATGATTGTTCTAACAGACGTCTGCAATAATCTGAGCTGCTGATGGAGGTGTGGTCTCTAACGATGGCTACCTAACACTGTGGGGGAGAAAACAGCCCCTCCCCTAGCGTTTGGCCCCAGTTTCTCTTGTCCAAGTACAAAAGCGTACCTTTTGGAATTCCTAGGCGTTGCTGCTCTTTAGTGAAACCGCTAAAAGTAGCTTTCAATGCTTGAGACATCATTTCTTTGCTGCTTGGAGTTAACAGTGGGACATCTGCGCATTCCATATCTACAAGAAAAATAGCATACGAATAACAAAGAGTAAATAGGTGATTAACCACATAGAAAACACAACAGGGCACGGAAGGGCTGAAGCAGGCAAGCTGAAGAAACAACCACGCTAATTACCTTACCAGAGCAGGTAAAATTGGGAGGGGGGGGGATTTCCATACTGCGCTAGGGCCCTGAAAAAACCGATTCTTGCCTGCAGTGCCCCACATCCCTGCCAAACGAAACACATCCATTCTTTCTGTACAGCTCAGCTAGTTTACCCATAGTCTCTGCTTCTCTTTCGCACTCGCTGAGAGCATCAGTGCTACCGGTATTTCAATTACCTATGCAAAGCGAATACCAATATTCATTCATTCAACAAAGAATTATCTAGCACTTGCTATATACGAGAATTAGAGAGACGGTGTGAACAAAATAGAAATTTTCCCTACATCGTGGAGCTGGATGTCTCAATCCTGCAGGAGATTCAGTCATCAACAGCTATCCACACAGCTAAATTTTACACAACGTCAACAAGGGTTTCAAAGGAGAAGTATAAGATGCAATGTGAACATATAACAGGAGTTCCAGCAAGTCTAGAGGAGTTAGAAGAGGCCTCCCTTAGGAGGAAGGAAAGAGTACTCCAAGCCAGCAGTTCTCAAAGTGGGGTCCCCGGAACAGCTGCATTAGGCGTTTCCTGGAAATTGTTAGAAATGCAAATCCTCAGGCCCCTCCCAGGCCTCCTGAATCAGAAATCCTGGGGGTGGGACCCAGCAATCTGTGCTTTAACACAGAATCCAGAGGATCCTGATGCCCATTAAAGTTAAAGGTCACCTTGAGCACAGTTTTCCACATGATCTTTTGGCAACGATAAACTTTACCACAGTGATCTCCAGAAGCTACCTTCCTTGCCCATGCTCACTATTCTAGACAAAAGGAAGGGCATAAATGAAGGTCATAAGTGACAAGTTTTAGTACCAAAAGGTCAGTGTGGCTGGAGCAGCGTATCAAGGACGACAACTGCTTGAGGTGAGCTTGAAGAAATAAGCAGGGAGCACATGAAGGAACGTATAATTCTATCCTAAGTGAAATAAAAAGCTGTTGAGCATTTGGCAGAGGAACGACATATCCACACTGTGTTTTAAGAAGTCACCTTAGCTGTTGTATAAAGAATGGCTCAGGAGGGAAGTATGGATGGATGTGGGAAGTCTTGTTAAGAAGTTATCAGTCCTGGTGAGAGATGCTGCTGGCCTGGACTAAGAGGTGGCAGTGGAGATAACAGAAGTGGATATATTTGAGGTGTGTACAAGAGGTAAAATCCATTAAGACCTGACTGGTTGGATGGGTGAAGAGGAGTGGGGCATGAAAATCTGAAGATGGGCAAACATTCCATCATTTGCTACACCCATGTGTGCCCTTGTCTCTGTTCTGCCCAGTGCCTCCTGTATGTGTATACCGTGTTCAAATGGTGGCGTATAAACATGACTGTAACTAAACATCTGAATCCACCTCGGGCACAATTTCCCTCAAGAGGCTAACTGGCAAAGAAATAACCCGAGAATTCCTGGCGGCCTTTCTGTGATCTCTTGGCACCGATACATTGTACCACAGTGATTTCCAGGAGCTACCTTCCTCCAGCTAACTCTTTGGTGCATCATAGGAAACTGAGTTACAAAATGGCTGAGTTCCAGGACGGGCTACTGCAGAAGGGCTTCAGCCAGCCATCTCTGTAAACTCTGGCCAGTTAAAAAAATTGCCAGGACACGCCTAAAGCGTTATTGGCTGAACAAAGTGGGAACATAAAAGAGAAAAGATGACAACAGATAACCTCTGAAAAAAGGAACAGACAGATGGCCTCTGAGCGTGACAATGTAGGGAAGTTAGATTGCAAGACAGAAGGGCAGGCATCACTATTCCTCCTGCCTGCCTTCAGCAGAGCTGTCAGGAAGCTGCTCAGTCCAGGTTCTGCCCTGGCAGACCAGCAGAACTGCTGGAGCGGCCCTCCAGGCCCTGCCACCAGGGGGAAGCTGAAGTTCTCGGGAGTGGTGAGTATGCCTCGCCCTGGGACATGCCCAGAAAATGTAGTGGAAAAATCAACATGTGTCCAGGAAGGTTGACAAAATGATGGAAAATCCCAGATTGTTAGGGAAAAAAAAGAGGGGGAAGGGGGAATGTTGATTGCATAACACCCAGCCCTTCAAACAATAGAGTAATCATCAAATGAGTCAGTAAGAAACACAACAGCGCTCCCCCTTCCTCCCCACTTCACACGCCCAAGAGCGAGCTAGCAGCAGGTCCAGAGATGTCTCCTCTTAGAGGGGAAGAGGATTCTACTGTAGCAAAGGGTACTCTTCAGTTAACGGGGGAATATTCAATTCACTAAACATTTGTTGACTGACTCACAAGTTCTGCCATGTGCTAGCTGCGTTAGTCCATCAAATGTTTAGTGAATCAAATTTTTCCAAATTTGAATCGACTTTCCTCCCTTTACTCGCATCCAACACAAATCTGTGACCTTGAACTGTGTGGGTTTTGTTTTGTGTGTTTGCTCCCTCCATTAGATTTATGAGTCGATGAAAAGGGCTGATGGCGGAAATTGGCCAGGACAACACATGTGGAAAACACAGGCTGGGCCAGATGGACAAGCAGTAGTTCTGCTACGAAGCAGAGCTGAAGGTCAGCTGGACTAGGAGGCGCCAGGCGTCTTCTAAACATAGAAGTTAGGGTAGTTGGACGCCAGGGTGACATGAAGGCCAAGGATGAGGGCAGAAAGCCCTGGAAAAGGTTGCCCTGAGTTTGCTTCTTTTAACTCCACATGCTCTGATGATCTGGATGATCCTGCTGAGCTGACAATTCTCCACGCAGATTCTGCTTCCTGTCAGGGATTCAGCATTTCCGGGTTCTCGCTTGTTCTCTCCAAGGGAAGCAGCTGGGATTACTTTTGCCTGTCCATCTGAGTGCCGTCTCCAAACCCCGTCCACATGCCACCAGCTGCACACAGGCCCCTCTGTGCGCCTGGCTCTGCCTCTCTGGCTGCGGGACCCCGGAAGTGCTGGACCTCTGGTGGAAGTCATCCAGGCATACTTGGGATACCGGAGTTCAGACTTGATGAACTCGGGGGCAGGCATTCCACTGCCCTTGAACCCAAGTAATTCAGGTGGGAAAATCAGAGCTTTACTCATGTTTCTAAAGTGTGGAATTTTTGGTTAAAATAAAATAAAATTTTATCCAGAAGTGACTGAATGATCGGCCAGGGTTGTCTTTTTAAGTGGTGTGGGCATGCACGTAAATTATTATGAACAATAACTTTCAAAAGTGGCTATTAATATAAAATATTAAACTCTAATCATGTAAAATTCTAATGCAAAAATTTTCTCTACATGGCCTGCTGATGACTGTATCGGTTCTGGTAATCACACGGATCAATCACAATAGTGAAATCATTCTACGGGTGGAGAACTTTACCGTATTCACTTTATTACCTATTACAGTACTTTTGTATTAAACCAAAAAAACCAAACCCGTTGCCATCGAGTCAATTCTGACTCATAGCGACCCTACAGGACAGAACTGAACTGCCCCATAAGGTTTCCAAGGAGCAGCAGGTGGATTGGAGCTGCCGACCTTTTGGTTAGCAGCCGAGTTCTTAACCACTACACCACCAGGGCTCATTTTTGCATTAGGTACCAATTTTCTAAGTTTAGAAACAGGGTCTAGAAATTAATCAATACTGCCATAGAAATTAACTAATTGTAGGTCTTTTCATAGAAAAATACTGAAATTATCTTGTGATAATATGTATAATATCATAAATTCCAATACACATGTGTCTTAAAACGCTGAGAACCTAACCTGGAGAAATGCTATGCCAACACAGTGGACACTATGAACACATCACTGGAAACTGAAAACATAAATGTATGAAACCATATTACGTTTCTCACCCACTAATTACTCCTTCAGGACCTCTATCTGAGTTAATGGGTCTAAGAATTACCCTAGGTTTCTGAGAGGAAAGCTGTGCAGAAGCCAGTGAATAAATAACCATCCCAAACTCTACCTTACCAAAGACTACACGTACCTCGGCAGAAATGAACAGGTTGCTTTCCTGGAACCAGCAGGGGCAGAGTGTGCCAGTGGCATTCTGAATGCAGGGAAACATCTGCTCATTCTTCACTGTGCCTAACCCTGAACAGAAGCTCATACCACCTCATGGATGTTGCGAGCGAACTATAAAGCGAGGGTTTCAGTTCACTTACGTATGTAGCTCAAAATTAAGGGTTGTTCAGTTTCCAAGAACCTGCATGGAAGTTTTATGTGTCTTTTCATACCATTCTTTTGAGTTCTTTGAAACAGAATAATAACTTTCGAATTATTGTCAATAATGTTACAGGGACTCTAAGCCTGAGGTGGCCTTTATGTGTGCAGAAGTTGAAGACACACAGCCTTACTGACCTGACAAGTTTCTCCTGTCAGCTTTCTCAAATAAAAGACTAGGAAAAGCCTGGGGCACATCGGATCCTAGGGGTAGATGTTGAGGGATGGAGCCAAGGACAAGAAATCCAAAGTGCAGCCCCAGTCTTGGCTACCGTGGAACTGGGCCTGACCCTCTTCTCATCTTACTGGATGATGATGCTAATACCAGCCATATGGACTGTATTGTCACAATCAGTAACAGCATTAAAGAAACACCTACACTTTACATCTCAACAGTCTGCCGAGACCTTTCACATATACTATTCCACAAGATCCTCGCAACATGCAACTTTTGAAGGACTTGGTAAAGTAGTATACGAGCCCCATTTTACAGAACAGAAAACCAAGACCGAGAGGTATAAAGAGGTTGGCCTAAAGTCACAGGGCTGGGAAGGGCCCAGACAAAGCCCTCTAACTCTTGATGTTCCAACTCTAGGTCTTCAGCTCTTAATCTGAGGTCTTTCTACTCTATTCCACTCCTGCTGCAGCCAGGAACAGGTCAGAGGTCCAAAGAAACTAAAGTTTTGAGAACAGAGAGAGGAAACAGGACTTTTAGCTTCTTAGTTTACTTGAGAATTAGACAGATTTGAGGAACTAATTAAAAACTTACACAAAACCCTTCAAGGATCCAAGAAATCCAGTTTCCTATGACTAACCCCTTTAAGACATAATTAAAAGCCATTTTACAGAATCCGCTCTGATCTTTTGCTTCCTTGGCACTAAAGGTAGAGTCTTCTTTCCTTCCATACAAAGTAACACACGTTAGAGGACAACCTGGCTTCCTTGCCTGTCTGTGTTCACCTCTGCGTCACACTGAGGGGCAACTGTGCATATAAAAGATGGTCAATTAATTACATAAAGGCTCACTGAAACCATATTTGTTAAGTAAAAGGAAACCAAGAAGAAACTTTCTGATTCATGGACATGGGAGGGGGCACAATTGTCCCAAATGAAAAGTGAGAAATGCACTGGACTTGGCTAGGCTTGTTGGTCAAAATATATGGGTTCTGACCTCAGTTTTGCCATTAATGTAACCACATTGGGTAAGTCACTCCGTCGATGCATTTCTAAGAGCTCTGTTAATACGTAGTGTCTAAAAGGAAGACAGAAGAAGTGACGTGTTCAAACGACGGTATTGGCAAAGAATACTGAATATACCGTAAACCGCCAAAAGAATGAACAGATCAGTCTTAGAAGAAATACAACCAGCATGCTCCTTAGAAGTGAGGACGGTGAGACTTTGGCTCACTTCCTTTGGACATGTCGTCAGGAAAAGACCAATCGCTAGAAACGGACATCATGTCTGGTAAAGAAGAAGGTCAGGGAAAATGAGGAAAACCCTCCAAGAGATGGACTGACACAGGAGCTGAAACAACTGACTCAAACATACCAATGATGAAGAAGATGGCGCAGGACCGGACGATGTTTTATTCTGTTATACGTAAGCTCACCGTGAGTCAGAGCCAACGCTATGGCAACTAACAACAACAACAACAACATATTCTGTCACGGGGTTTGAATTTTTCATGATGGTTATTTTCAAACATATACAAAAGAAGAGAGACTAGTAAATGAACCCCTACTCAAAATTTATCAACATTACCAGTTTTATCTCATCCCCGCCCCCCACTGAAGAGTTATAAAGCTAATTCCAAACAACATGTCACTGCACTCACAAATATTTTATTATCCCAAGGATATTTATGAGGTAAACTATCATAGTATGAAAGTTTCCAAGAGGCAAGTAAACTCAAGGAAAGAGAAAAAAGGTCTTCAAATTACTCTCCATGGTGTTTCATCCACTTGAACCACAGAACTTCCTTTAAAGAGACACAGAGGATGCTAACATGATTTGGGAAACATGAAAGCGATCAGAGAGGAATCACTTCAAATCAGGATGATAAACCAGTCCCTTCAACTCCTTCCGATAAGCAGAAAACTGCAAAGATGGTTCGTCCTGATTGCTAATGTCCTCATGAACTTATAACTACAAGTAACCCACACTCACTGCCATACAGTGGATTCCGACTCATTGCGACCCCACGTGTTACAGAGTAGAACTGCTCCCTAGAGTTTTCTTTGCTGTCATCTTTATGAAGGCATATTGCCAGGCTTTTCTTCCATGGTGCTGCTGTGGGGGTTCCAACCACCAACTTTAGGTTAGTAGATGAAGGCAAACCATTTGTGCCACCCAGGGATTTTACAACTGTAAGTAGGAGAATGTAAAAAAAAAAAAAAAGACTGGGAATTCTCCTGCCAAGCAACCAGAGGGCAGCGTGAAAGGTAAGACCACTACCAAACCACCTAGAGCACGTCCCCACGTGGGAGGTAAGGTGCTTTTAGTCTTTCAGACCATTACAAATAGAAAAACTGCTGAGGCCACGGTGACTGGCAACTTGGGACTCTAGAATTGAATGTCCCTGGAGAGTCCTAACTGGCCTCCAGGATGAATTAGCAGGAAAGATGCTAATGACTCTGAAGAATGAGAGGGGCTCTCAGGAAGAGTCTCTACTGCCCTCTGTCATCCATGGAAGCGTGGGAGGGAAGGAGAGGTGAATGACCTGTAAGGGGCTTCTTTCTCGTGTTGTTAGTTGACTCTACATGTGCAGAGTAAAGCTGCTCCATAGGGTTTTCAAGGCTGTGACCTTTCGGTAGCAGATCACCAAGTCTGTTTTCAGAGGTGCCTATGGGTGGGTTCCAACTGCCAACCTTTTGGCTGGTAGTTGAGTGCTTAACTGACTGGGCCACCTAGGGATGCCTTACAGTCCCCAATTCTCAACTGGGGTACTAGATTCAGGGTACTCTTCTGTAATGGGTACTAGAAACCTGGCAGGTAGAACTTCCAACAGAGGGGATCAATAGACTCCACCAAGATTCTTGCTGAGGTTGATGCAATGAAGGTGACGTCCCTCCTCGGCCCCTTGGCTCAGTCTTCATGAACCTAATGGGGTGTCAAGGCAACGGGAAGCAAGCAGGACTCCTGGTTCCAGCAAGAGCTATGGGAGAAATGGCTCCAGTGCGGGGCCACCCATCCCAACCAAAGAGTCCATCACTGTCCCAAATAATGGGACACCACAAGGCCCCAAACAAAGGCCTATCAGTTAGAGAAACAAAAAGACCAGGTTTCTGCTGTTCTCTTATTTACCAACCCCTCCAAGTCACCAGCCAATAAAAAAAATCTCTGCCAAGTAGTGTTGCCTTCAAGTCAACTGCGACTCACAGCATCCCTACAGGACAGAGAAGAACTGCCCCACAGGGTTTCCAAGACTGTAATCATCATGCTCACTATGAGCTGGAATAATCTTTATGGAAGCAGACTGCCACATCTTTCTCCTGTGGAGTGGCTGGTGGGTTACGAACCACCTTTCAATTAGCAGCCAAGCGCTTAACCACTGTGCCACCAGGGTTCCAGGAGAAAGAAGCTGCACAGAAAATCCCCAATTCACCTCCCAATGACCTGACTGACCAAAAACGCAAGCCAGTCTCAAATTACAGCAGCTTGGCTGGGCTATCAATGCACACAGCCAGGAAGGGAACGCACACTGTTTGGGTACAATGTGCCAGCTCCGAGGGAGATGCCTCTCTCAGAGGGAGGCTGTCCTAGGGAGAAAGAGATGGTCCCCAAGCTGCACAGAGGGCCACACGGACCTGCAGCCCGGACTAAGGAAGAGGCCTGCAGGGCAGCTGACCACATTCAACATCTGTAGGAAGTGACCTAAGTCTTCTCCCTCCTTCCCTCCTCCAGCCCCCGCTCCATCCCCCAAAAGGAGTTTTAACACGTTATTACACTGAGTCCTGAGGATCTGGTGACTCACCAGGCTCACACGTGGTTCCAATGAGCCCTTGGCCATTACATGGTAGGGGGCAGGAAACAAATGAAAGCGGCTGTAATTCGGCAGCGCCGAGTTCAGACCTGCCAGACAAAAGGGATTGCAGGCATGTTCCCAGATCCATTCAGGCACCTGCCATGCAAAATCTATTTTTAATCACTGGATTTATTTCTTTCCTATCCCCTCCACCATCCCCCACTTCAGCAAACGTTTCGGAGTCAGAGCAAAATCCAAATCAATTCCAGGTGTTCAGGGAAACCCAGAAGAGAGAGGCCCTTCCGTTCCAGGACCCACGCCAGCAAGCCGAACTCCCCCCGGATCCTGGAGCTACACTGTCTCGCTCTTTTCTTAAAGCAGTTCGAATCTCCCACCTCAAACACTGGGCAAATGGCCTAGAAGAGGAAGTGTCTGACTGCATGTGTCCTGCAGGACTGACAGCTCTGGCAAATGAGGGGGCATAAAAACAGCCTCAAAGACCACCGAGACAAAGCTTTCTCTCCTTCCATAGGATGCGCTACCTGCCCAGCATAGGGATTAAATGCCATGTGTGTGAAAACTCCACCTCCTAATACATGGGAAGCACTCAGTGGATTGTGGGTAACTTGAATTTAACTGAAAAGCAACTTACAACATGTAGTCTAAACAACAATAGAAGGTTTTGTTATTTCCCAAGCAAGGAGAAGGAATCTGGCAATTTCCCCAGGTGCAACTAAGCAACTGAGAAAATGGGCAAATGAAGGCAAAATCAGATTCCAACATACAAATGGAAATTGACGTCTCTTGAAACTGGTTCTTACTTCTAACAGAACAGACCAATTACCTATTCTGCATCCTCCAGTCTGCTAAGGAGGAAATCTCTTTTGTAGCAATAATCACCTAAAACACGTTTTACTATGACAACGCCTCATTGCTACATGAATCCAGTGAACCGAAGACGCCTTTTGGTGTTCAAACCTTCCTGAGAGTGCCATCTTAGGGTGAACATGCCACAAGCCGAAAGCACAAGTGTGTGCTCAAAACTAACTTCTATAGGTTTGGAATTTGCCAAAACCCAAACTGCACTTGACCCTAGTCATTTGTGTGCCTTTAAATGAATGACTCTCTCGCAACTGAAGTGAACGTATTATCTACTTAGGTTAGGATTCCTGCAAACAAGGACCACCTCAATAAAGTATTTTAAAAATAATTCAAGGTTCTTAGAGGATTATTTTAAGCCATTTGCAGAGTGCTTCACATGTTTCAGAGAAGCCCCAGTGGCACAGTGGTTAAAGCGCTCAGCTGCTCACTGAAAGGTCGGCGGTTCATACCCACCAGCCCCTCCATGGGAGAAAGCTGTGGCAGTCCGCGTCTGTAAAGATTCCAGCCTTGGAAACCCTATGGGGCAGTTCTACTCTGTCCTACAGGGTTGCTGCGAGTCAGAATCGACTGGACAGCAAGAGGTTCGGTCACATGTTTCAAATCATTTCCTACAGAGATTATTACACTTGACTCCTACCACAGGACACATTTTGTGAGCCCTAAATGTCCCCAAAGGAGCCCTCATGGCACAGCTGTTAAAGTGCTCGGCTGCTAACTGAAAGGTCCACAGTTTGAACCCATCAGCCACTCCTGGGAGAAAGGTGTGGCAGTCTGCTTCCGTAAAGATTTACAGCCTCAGAAACTTTATGGGGCAGTTCTACTCTGTCTGATAGGGTCGCTATGAGATGACATTGATTGGAAGGCAATGGACTTCAGTTTTGGTTTAAATGTCCCAAAACACTGTGATTTCTCTGTTATGGGAAACACAGAGCCACTGTCTCCATATTACTTAGGAAGAAAGCGTGAATGGAGCCTGTTCAACCTCAAGGCTTTGCAGACAGCCACATTGGATCCTACTGGTTCCAACCTTAACACTTCTAAGTGCCTTCAACTAAATACAAGGTCTTAAGGCTTTTGATACCAAGATGGCATAGGATAAACCCACTTAAGAAGAAAAGGGAAAATATTTGACATCCTACATCTTGCTATTATCCCAGCTTCCATGACTTCTGGTTCACATACCAATCTTTCATACCTTATCCTCTGAGATCCTGGAGAAATTGATAAATTGGGCTAACCAATTTATTTTAAGTTAGTTTTTACCTATAATTATCATTACTGATATCTGAATAGAATTTTATATTTTAGAAAGTATTTTCTCAACATGTTCTAATACCAAGTTCAGTATTATCTCCATCACAACCAACCAAGCAACCGCTGCCATCAAGTTAACTCTGACCCAGGGCATCCCCATGTGTTTCTACATAGAATTGTGCTCCGTAGGGTTTTCCATGGCTGTGATCTTTTGGAAACAGATTGCCAGGCCTTTCTTCTGAGGTACCTCTAGGAGGATTTGAACCACTAACTTTTCAGTTAGTAGCGGAGTGTTTAACTATTTATGGAACCCAGGGACTCCAGCTCCATCATATGATTTAACTGAGATTACCAAGCCAGTAAAATGATATAACCAGGACTCAAACTTAGATGTCCAGACACTGAATCCAGGTGTTTCCCACCTGTACCTATTTGCAGAGTTAAAAATGGGGTGTGGGGGGGGCAGACATGACAGGGCATAAGAACACTGTTTTTCATTTTCTCCATCAATTTGCTTGTTTAAAAAGTTCTTTCTAGAGAAGGGAAGAGTCTCCATGCAGACACTCTCTGCGGCCCACAGACCTCAAAGGCCCACAGTGTGTCAAAAGCTCGCCTCCCAGTCCACTTGGCACCTGCTCTGGGGCCAGACAGGCACTGGGGGAGAGGGCTCCTGGGAATCACCAAGGTGGGGGCTGAGGAGTTTTCTCCATGGGCAAAGGAAAAATCTGGGCAAACAAGTGGAGTGGAGCTCGTTTATTTAGGCTGGAAGAGGTGAAGTTTTTCTGCACTTTTGAACTGTTTTCTCAAGGCCTGCCTCTTCCACCCACGCAGGAAACACACACAGAGACAACCTCTTCCAGTCAGCGAGTCGGTAGCTCCAACAGCCTGAGAAGGGCCGAAGGTGGCCTGAGAGAAAGGAGAGGGAAGGGGCAAAGCAGAGAGGGAGGAAGGCAGGAGCTAGGAGAGAAGACAGAGGGGAAGAGCGTGCAGAGAGGGCATGAGAAGGAAGGATGGCAGAGAAGGAAAATGAGAGAAAATAAGGAGAAAGCTGGGGAAGCTAATACTGGAAAAAGGTACAAGCAGATAAATGGACAGAGGCGGGCAGAAGTCAGCTGGGAAGAGGCAGCGACCAGCTCCCGATTAATGTTCAGAAGCAACAGTTTTCCATAAGTTTTGAAAGGAAATTTTTTCTCTACTTTCTTATTTATTTATACGTTATACAAATACATTTTTAAACCAAAAAAGGACCATTTTTCCAATGGGAAAAAGCCTTGTCTGAGATGAAAGCTAGTCTTCAAAAACCCCTTAGAGGAAGCTGAAACCCCACATGTCTTGGTGCTGCAGAAAGAAAAACAAAGTGGACATTCTTCCTGCATTCTCAAGCTTTTTTATGCAGATGTGTTTTTCTTTTAATAAATAAATCAGGACAGAGAAGGAAAAAGCATACTCATACACATTCACACAGTGCCACTGTCTGCTTTCCGCCCGGAGAAAGCGTGATGAAAAATAAGAAATAGTTAAGTCCACTTTCCCACTGCAGGAGACAAATATTCTCAAGATGCCAACCACAGGCACTGAAGCGATCTACTATATACATAACTGAAAGCTTCCCACATGACAGATGAATGTTTGTTCATGAGTAATAATATCAGTTAGACCAGGACCTGGGACACGCCTCCCCTACTTCCCCCAAAAAGGTCTGCAAAGGTCTGCAGCTCAAGTGGTTACTTCTGTGGGGCCTTTCTAGCCACGGTCTTGTAACGCCCATGCAGGTGACTGGGCGATAGGGTGACTGTGGCCCACCAAGGAGACTGGTCAGTTCTGCCTTAAAAAAGAGCCAATTCCAGAGCAGAGAGGAAGATCCTATCACCAAGGAAGAACAGCCAGGAGCGGAGAGCGTGTCCTTCGGACCTGGGATCCCTACGCTGAGAAGCTCCTGGAAGCAAGAGACCGAGAGACAGCGAGCTGTAATCCTGAAGATGGCGAGAAGTGGCGGCAGGAGAGACCCAGCAGCAGAGACCCGGCAGTAGGACGTGGCATGGTGGGCTTCCCAGCCCACGGAGAGAGAAAGCTGAGTGCCTCTGGGGAGAGACCTAGGGCCAGGGAGAGGTGTGCCGGTGAGCACGGTTGGGAAGAGCCTGTCCTGATGAAAGAACTGTATCCTGAGTGTTCCTGAGCCTGAACTGTAACTGTTACTTCCCTAATAAACTCATAATCATGAGTATGGTCTGTGAGTTCTCTGCGGCCATTGCAGTGAAGTATCGAACCCAGCGGCAAAGTAGAGAGTGCTGTGCGAGGGACGGTTGGTGTCAGAATTAGTAAAGATGGCGGAGAGAGGAGGCTTGTCTGGCCTCCACCTCACGGGAGCTAGCCTTGCACTGTTGATCTTGGTTCTCCCTTCCCGCTTGTGGGGTTGGAGGAGTTCAGACACCACCTTCACTCCGTTTTTATACAAGGTGCTCTCATATAACCCCTCACTTAAGGCATGTGGTGGCTCCCTACTTTCTGAGTCATTCACTTTCACTTATAAACTGCAATAATTACTAGAAAATGATCCCTCACATTCAATTAAAATCCGTCCTCTGATGAGTTCTATCCACTGGCCCTCGTTCTGCTGGTTGAAGCCACACAGTATAAATCTAATCTTCACACAGTCAGCTTTTCCACTGCTTTGCCCTTCCTCTCTGCTGTCACCTCTGTCTAGGTTTTCAGGTCCAGGTCATCGGATCCTTCAACCATTTATGAGGCCTGGATCTGGCCTTTGCTCGCCCAGAAGCACTCCTGTATACCAGTGTTCCTGACAACCATCACAAGCAAACAGCGTGTGCTCAGGAAGAAAACGAGAACAATGAGATTATCGTCTTACTCCACACACTTCTGTGGCTGCCAACTCCAACAACACAGATTTTCGACCAGCCACTCTACAAGAGTCATTCAAAGTGCACTGCTGGGCCTTCTTCAGATGAATGCG